AGATTGTGCTGCATGAAGTAGGCTTGGAGGTCTAGTAGGAGGCTAGAAGAATCTATGATAGTAGGAGACAGGAGGAGGTAGATTAGGAGTTTTAGCGCTAGAGGCACCTACAGTAATAGATCGCAAGGCTATGGCAACGGGTCTCAACAGGTACAAGGATAGGCTTATGATTATATGCTCTGAATTGTCAATAGTGGAGGTAATTGGCTTGATTCCGGAGTTTTACCCACGCTGGGGATTCTCTGTCATCATGTCTATGTTGATTTATTGCTTTCTACAATATTATAATTGTGGCATTCAAACATAGGATTAACTGGACTATATGGTTAACCATCAAAACTTAATTAAAGTGACTTGATGCTTTGATTAATTAATTTCACACATAACGTCGAAGTGGTTAACTGACTAGACCGTAAATTTGGTAACACATAAAATTTAAATTTGAATTTGACATTGTATCGCATCCCGCGAACTTTCTAGTGTACCATATCATTCTGGATGGTTTTCCAATTGGTATCAGAGGCTGAGTGCATGTCCTGACCTTATATTTGTCTAGATGAGTACTCGTTGAGTGTGCCACTCCATTTTGATGAGAATAATTATGCTTATTGGAGAATGAGGGCATTTTTGAAATTTATGGATGAGAGGATTTGGTTGAGTGTCGTGAATGGTTGGTCTACCCCTAAGTCCACAGTAGATAGTGTTGTCACTCCCATCCTCATAGAGAATTGGTTGAGTGTTGTGAATAGTTGGTCTACCCCTAAGCCCACAATAGATAGTGCTATCACTCCTACCCTCATAGAGAATTGGTCTAAGGCTGAATTGGATAGATGCATTTGGAATAATAAAGCCTTACATGCCTTGTTTATGGCCATTTCCTCCAACAAATTTAGGAGACTATCCATGTGCGAGGTAGCTAAGGAAGTTTGGGTTATTCTAGAAACCACATATGAGGGAATACAGGCGGTTAAGAACTCGAAACTGTATATGCTAGCTAATAGGTTTGAAGAGATCAGAATGAGAGATGATGAGATATTTGATGTTTTCTATGTGAGCCTAAACGACATAGTGAACTCTTTCTTCAACCTAGGTAAGAAGATCCCTAAGCCTAAGATAGTTAGAAAGATTCTTAGATCCTTACCTGAGCGTTTCAAGCCTAAAGTTACGGCTATAGAGGAAAGTAAGGACATTGACACTATCAAGGTAGAGGAGCTAGTTAGATCCCTTTAGATCTATGAGCTTACCTTAGATAATCCAACTAAGGAAAGATCCATTGCCTTGAAATCTGCTAGGAATAATTAGATCGAATCATCTATTCAGATTCAGCCAACGATGAGGAGATGGCCTGCTTAGCTTAGATTTCAAAAAATGTTTCGGAAGAAGAAATTGCAAGAAAAAAGTGAATCTAGGAGAAAATCTAATTTGGTGAGATGCCATAACTCTCAAGTTATAGGTCATGTGAAGAAGGAGTGCCCTAGTGCTAAGAGAGTTAGGGAGAAGGCTATAAACATTACTCTCATTAATGACGAGTCCAGCTGGGACAATCAGAGTGAGAAATCCACGCCGTGAGGAAAATGGAAAATATGTTACCTTCGTTACTAGAGTTAAGAGTGGATTCGAGCAGAGAAGTGTAAGAGACGAGGACTTAGATAGTGATGTGGATTATGGCGATGAGTCAGTGAGTGAGAAGGATATCGAAGAGGCCTATGAGAAGATGTATCAAGAAAGCCTGAAAGTTCTCAATAAAAAAAGGCTTTAAGTTTGACTATTTAGGAGTTGCAATTGGAAAAAGCTAAGTTAGAAGTGTATGTTAAGGAATCTTCCACTGTCCTGAGTGAACTTAGGTCGATGAATGAAGTTTTAGAGTATCGGGTTAAAAATCTCACCAGTAAGCTCAAGAGGTCCTCTAGAAAAGTCAACAGTTGACCGCCATGAATGAGACTTTGGGATTAGGGCACATAGCTTCTTAATACCCAAACAAAAGGGCAATGGTATTGTAGGACAATGGAGAGGTGGTGAGCTAAAGTAAAGATGATTATGACGACATGCTGTGTTGGAGGATTTGGCACTAGTGAAAAATTGGAAGGTGTTGTTGGAGAGCTACTGCTCGCAAGACGAGCTCTTAATACTCCAGTCAAGGTAGATGATTTGGAGCAAGAACAGGAAAACATTTTCCATACTCCCTATCACATTAATAATATGGTATGTAGTGTAATTATTAATGGTGGGAGTTGCACAAATGTCGCTAGCGTAACACTTGTAGAGAAGTTAGGATTAACATTGATGAGACACTCTGAGCTTTATAAATTACAATGGTTGAACGAAAATGGGGAGGTTAGGGTGAATAGAAGGGTATTAATAATTTTTTGGATTGGGAAGTTATCGTGACGAAGTAGTGTATAATGTGCTACTAATGCAAGAGGGCCATCTTTTTTTTTTTTTTTTTTAAATACCCAGGTGTCCACCTTACAGCAACTAATCCTGGGGTCTACGATCCAGCCCCTCTTCACGCAGACCAGGTAAGCCGCAGGTTGTGCCCCAAACTGGCCAGGGTCCAAGAGCCCCCCAACTGAACTGCCAAAGTGCCGAGCGAGTCAAACCCATGTATGCGCCTTGCCTTCCAAGGAAATCCTGCCTTCCAGGAGAAAGCCTTACCTTCCAAGAGCCCCATTAATCGAACCCGCGACCTTTGAACTGCCCGCCTTGAAGAACTCCGTCCTTTGCTAGTTGGGATGTGCCCCGGGGGGCAAGAGGGGCATCTTTTGTTAGGAAGATTGTGGCCAGCATGATAGGAAGGTTATTCATGATGGTTATAAAAATCACTACAATTTCGTCAAGGATGGGAGGACCATTACCCCTGTGTCATTAATACCAACACAAGTATATAGAGACCAAATCAAATTCAAGGATGAGAAAGAGAGAAGGGTAGAAGAGTTAGAGGAAAAGAGAGAAAATAGTAAGGTTGTTATTAGTGAGAAAAAAAAGAGTGGAGCCACAAGGAGAAAAAAGAAAGTCTTCTAAGGAGGGAAAAATCACGAGTGAATCCCTTTGTGAAAGGGAGTGAGTTGAGGAGGGCGGTAGTTGAGAGAAGAGAGATAATTTTATTGTTGTATATAGAAACACTCAACTTTGAAGAAACTAACCCACCCCTGCCTAGTTTGGCTAAATCTTTATTTGTAACGACCCGGGCCTCTCACCCAAGCCGTTATCTTATGTACTGTTTGCTTTGGGTGTGCCTTGCACCCACTTACCCCTGACGGCTTTCTGTCGTGTCTCATTACCTTCCCATTAAGTAAGATTTAAGTTGAATCCTGGTTGGGTAACTTGTTCAATTGGTACCAGAATTCAACTTAAGTCTTATTTAAGGGAAAAAGGTTTGAGTTCGAATCCTGAAGGACGCGACAGACAGCCGTGAGGGCTAAGTGGGCACTTCGTAATAACATGGGCATCTTACCCAAGCCGTTATCTTATGTACTGTCCGCTTTCGATGGGCCTTGAGCCCACTGACCCCTCACGGCTCTCTATCGTGTTACCCAGAATTCGAACCCAAGACTTCTGCTTAAGAGAGACTTAAGTTGAATCTTAGTACCAATTGGACAATTGGAACACCCCAAATTTTATTTGCTTAATTTTTGGGGTATTACTGATATCATTTCATAACACAACGTCAAGCGAAAATATGAATTGGAACTTTAAAAATCTTAAATTATTAAATATTCAAATACTGAATCAAATAAACATAACATCACGTAAACATAGAATATTAAACGGAATTAAACTGAAACACATAATATCCCAAATGAATTATAGTGAACGTTTTCTTAAAACTTTTTACTTGGCAGCCCACGCACCGTTCAGCCACTATTCACATCGACCAATCTAGCCTAAAATGTTAAAATTGAAGAAGTGAGTAATTACACTCAGTAGAGTACATGCGTCCGAATAATATAATAACTTTAAATGTAACTTCATAACATCATTTCATCAAAAGCAATCGGTGATCAATCGAATGCTCTAATATATTTGAGATGACCCGAAAGAGATCTCACATTTCATTTCATAAGGACCCGAGGTCAAATAGATTTTCATGAAATAAATCATGTCAAAAATTATAATATTGAAGAGACGGGTCAACTTGCACATAATATTCTACCTTGATTGATGAAAATAACTGTTGGAAGGAAAGTGAGAAATTCCCATTCTCAAAACCTTTGACTGTTGCCGTGTAGAAAATTGTGGAAGATGTACATATAATAAATCACGAGTTAACCAATGATTGCCAAGCAAAATCAAGATTTTGGATACTGTGTAAACGTGGTTGGCAGTCGCTTCAAAGTGAGTGTCGTCCAATTTGCACAAGTATGAGGGAAAACTTTATTTTAATCTAATGACATCTAACTAGTGTAATTGGTGCTAAATAATTAGTAAGGCCCCCTTTTTTATACTGTTAAATCATTTTAAAGACCATGGTCAATCTAGGTAAGAAGCTATTTTCGACCTAATGATAGATAATTAGGCACAATTTATGCTAATAAAATTTAACATCCAATATTTACGTCATTTACTTAAATAACAACTTAAATTAGTCATTACCAATTACAATATCATAATGTTCTCCACATGCTAATTCTTACAAATATTAAAAGAGAAGTTGAATTTCACTGTTCATGCCCAATGTTCCCATTTCCCTACCTGGTTACTGTTCACAACACATCATGATTGGATCATGCTGATTTCATATCCCTACAATAATAAAAGATTCATTGCCTTTTAAAAGCCTGTTTAGAAGTGATTTTCTTTCTCAAAAAATTAATTTTTTGATTGTTATTTCACTATTCCAGTTGTCATATTTGATTTCTTCTCTTATGGGTGGACCCTACTTTTCTCTTAACGGTCAAAAAATCAATTCTCAAAATTACTCCCAAACATGCTCTTAAATTTTTATCTGAATAATGACATAATTGTACTTTTTTAGTCATTTCTCTTTCTTCTGTGAAACTTTCTTCATTTCTGCACGCAATATCCCATGCTCCTCCATTCTCAAGACATCCGTCCATTCTTCTCCCTTCTTCTCATTCCATCTCTCTTCTGTTTCTTTTTGCTCACAATCTTGTCTATATGCCGCGTGATTTCGCCAAAACTCTTTGGTTGAACATTTCTTTTTGCAAATTCCTATATATTTTGGGATTTTTCTCTATAATCGTTTTGTGTTTTAAATTTGTAATAGGTTGTTGATTTCCGATTGTTTAATTGCAGATTTTAAGTGGCAAGGATGAATGAGACATTTGTCTTATATTCGCAGTTGATTTATGGTGGTTTTAAGTACGAATCTTCCATTCTCTTCATTGATTTTTTTTAAAGCAAAAGAACTGTTTTTTAATGAAATGTTTCCATTTTTTAGTTGAACTTTTCATTTTGCAGAAATCCCAACTGCGAAAGCTTTAGAATATCTTGGTTGGCATGAAGATGACAAAAGAAACACAAATGGAACCTCCCTTTCTCCTCAAATCCATCAGGTCTAATTTATTTGTTCATTTATTTTGCCAATTTTCTCTTCCTTTCATTTTTCATAGGTTGTAGAATATTTTATGGGATTTGACTTGGATTTTTTTTCCCTATGTCGTCTGAAAATTAAATATCTTTGTAATTACAGGAAGTGAAAGTAAATCTTGTTATTACAGACTATTTTATGCCTGGAATGACTGGCTATGATTTACTAAAGAAAATCAAGGTATACTTTCTTGGTTTCTATTTTATTCCTTTTATGTATATTCTTCATGTTGTGAGAAATTTTAGAGTCCTGCTTAAAAGTTACTTTACTAGAATTGTTAGTTATTGACCCTATGAAAAGTTACTTAACTTTATAACCACACGTTCCGTAGCTCTTATTTTTGATATATGGAGTCGGCTGCTTAAACTTATTATATTCTATTGCTTGAATTGAATGTAACTGGAAAGAAAAAAAAAATATTTTGCATCTTCTCCAAGATCTCATTCTTTCATTTTTGGAAAATATTCTTCCACAACATTTGCTGATTCTAGCTATACATCAATCTGGGATTGATGTATTCTGAAAAGTTATACAGACCATTCATTTGATATCAAAAGAATCTTAGAAAATCTTTATACCACCTAATTTTGGTAATTTGATATTAAAAGGGCATTTACTATTTCCACATGGTCGCCCCATTGCTTTAGGCTTTTATGATTTTTTCTCATGGCCTAAATCTCCTTATAATTAATCCGTGAAAAAGCAATTTTGTTCGCACGTTGCACTCGTTCAATGTATTTACTTAGTATCTAATTAGATCTTTAGGCAAATCTAGCAATGGCTTGGGCAAAATCCTAACTTTATTGAAAATTAGCGGGGATTTGTTGTCACATTTATTTCTCGAGATAATTATGTCTTTCAATAGATCTATTGATCAATAAGAACCGAAGACAAATAAAAATTATGTAATTGATTCTAAATTTATTGAAAATTAGGTGCAATCTCTTTAATTTCTATGGAGAACAACTCTAATAAACAAGGGGGCTTTCTATTGTTTTGCAGGAATCTTCATCCCTAAGAAACATGCCGGTAGTCATTATGTCTTCTGAGAATGTGCCCTCAAGAATCAATATGTAAGAATAATTTTTCATTTATATTTGGAGTTGGTGTAAGTGTTATGCCCTAGGTCCAAACAACTTTGGAGATAAATACTCTTAATATATAATTAATGCAGTTTAATGGCAAATCTATTATTTAATTATTATACAATTAAACTAAATAATAGAGTCCGTAAATTCAAATCTTTGTAATTTGTTAATCACAAGGAGTTGTGATTGTGAAATACAAATTACATATGATTGAATTTTAAATTGTCCGTGGTCATATGTAATAACGAGATACATATATTGTTATTACGGATAGATCATCACATGTGGCATTTATTACTTGTAAAGTAAGTAGCAGATCTCACAAGCTAAAGTATAGTAACACTTAAATGAACACGTGGATATTTTGTTGTACAACAAAACATTGGAGACCCGCTTAGAGATTCCACATGGATAACTGTGTGAGTGTCTATGATTAATCTCTAATGTTCGGTAGTGAGATTGGTCCTTTGATTTGAGGATGTCGTAGTATCTTATATGAGAACAGTCATGCTTTGACGGTGTTGGATGTTGCTCTATCAAGAGCCGCTAATATGGCATCGTTTGGGTATGTCAAGAATCGTATGAAGGTTGTGAATGACCAATAGAGGATTTGTCACTCTTAGATAGTAAGAGATTATGATCCGCATTTCATTCAATTAAGTCGATACCAAAATTCTTGGCCAAGGTGTACTCATAAGTCGATATTGAAATTTTTTTAATGGTACACAATTCCTTCAAGAACTTAGTATAACGAGGTACTTGTTTAATAGCATCTAACAATGGAATGTTTATCTCACATTTACAGAAAGTTTCATAAAGTTCGTCATTTGGTTCATCTTTCCTAGATCATGCTAAAGGGAAAGGGAAAGGGGGTACCGATTTATACTTAGAAAGGGATGGAAACTTACGCTTAGGTGCGCCATCGTCATTGGAAACAATCTTTTCTTCAGTGGCATCTTTCTTCTTTTCCTACTCCAATGATGTAGGGGCTGCCCTCGAAATTTCTACCCTTTTACCACTCAACAATATTGCACTTGCATTTTTCTTTTGATTGACCATTGTTTGAGAGGGTAATTTTCTCGAACCTTGTGCTTCCAGCCTACTGATTGAGGTTGCCATTTGACCCATCTGGGAACATGTTAGTTGGATGTCCCACCACCAAATGAATTTCGCATACTTTAGCCATTTGCATATTACCTGCAGCCATTTGATGAATAAGAGAAGTTAGACTCGCAAGTTGTTACTCAAGAAATGAGACATTTACCTCATTAACATGTTTAGAATGAGTATTGAGTTTAGTGCCAAATTGTTGAGAGTCGGCTGCCATGTTTGCAATCAAGTTCCTAACGTCCTCGGGAGTTTTATCCACCAAAGCTCCTCTACTTGCAGCGTCAATCATGCTCCTATCAATGGGTAGAAGACCTTCATAGAAATACTGAATGAGAAGTTGTTCGCTAATTTGATGATGGGGACAGCTTGCTCATAGTCGCTTGAAACGCTCACAGTATTCATGTAAGGATTCTCTGCTGTCTTGCATTACACCACAAATAGCATTTCGGATGTTTGCCCTTGAAGCTGGGAAATATTTCTCCAAAAACAACCTCTTCATTTCTTCCCATGTTATGATACTTCTAGATGGTAGATAGTAGAGCCAGTCCTTAGCTGAGTCCTTCAGGGAAAATGGAAAAGCTCTCAATTTGATTTGCTCTTCAATTACCTCCGTAGGTTTCATACTTTTGCACACCACATGGAATTCCAGTAAATACTTGTGAGGATCTTCACCTGCAAGACCATGAAAAGTGGGCAAAAGATGTATTAGTCCAGATTTTAGTTCAAAAGTTGTGGCAGCATCTAATGTAGGAAAAGTTAATGCAGAGGGGTTGTTGATGCAAATCTGGAGCTGCAAGCTCTTTTAAAGTTTGATTCCTAGCCATGTCCATCCTCAATCTGCTCAAAGTCCTTTCTATTTCCGGATCATACTGCAAATCATCTTGATTAGAAGATTGATTTAAGGGCATAAACAGTTGAGGAAGCTATAAAAAAAAAAAAAACTAAACTAAACAAAATAACCAAATAAACAAAGAAAAGATTTTTTTTTTTGGGAATAAAAACTTATGAAACAAATAAAAAGCACAAAAATAAATTAAATCACTCCCTAACAATGGCGCCAAAATTTGGTGCGTGCTATCGTAGGTACTCCAAATTAAAACATATACTTCTTAAAATTAATGTAGTAGTGGAAATAAGAGTCGATCCCACGAAGAGTGTTCAGTATATATTTTATACTAAATTAACTAAAAGGGGGGTCTTGAATGTGTTAAAATCAATTCTAACTAAAAACAATGTAAATTAATAAATTGGATTAAGTCAATGAAAAAACTAACCTTGGTCTAAGTCAATATCCACCTTCGAAATTTTACAACTAATTATAGATGCAAGTATGAATCAACTCATATTTTGAATATTCACCGTTGGAAAAATAATTACCATTCAAATTAATTTCATATTCCTCCTTAAGTGTAACTAGTTAGGGCAATGACCTTCTAACTAATCCTAATTATCAAATAACCATAGACAAGAGCTAAGATTTAATCCAATAACAGCTTTACGTATTAGAGAAATTGATGAACTAGATAACACAAGCTACGCGTTTGCATTTAACATATTCAAACATTCTTCCTAAGATTTAATAATTTTCAAATCAGCAAATCACTAATCCTAGTTGCTTCACAAGTTAAATCAATCAAACAATTACGAATTTGATGTTTAACTTAGTGGTAGATTATAATGAATAACAAATAGTATGCATCCTAGCAATTAAACACAACAATCATTGAAAATAAGTGCAAAAGAATGTTCAATACCCAAAAACATGAATTAAACTAATAAAATAATTCGATCTCATAGTTGTATAGATTCCGAGGCTCCAATATCCTCGACCAAGTATGAGAAATTAGATAGACATCTTCAATTTTAGAGCACAAAAGAGAGAAAAGTGATTTGGGGGCATTCTCTCACGTTCTAGGATGAAATAGGGTATTTATATGGTGAAAAGATTTGTTTCCATGCATGGTTGGACGGAAAAAAGAAATTAAAAATTGCGCCTCAAATTCCTTCCATGCGGCTACATGGTATATTTCCATGTTACCACATGGAACAATGAAAATAGGCTCCAGAAGGCTCTGAACCAGTTCATGCGACCGCATGGTATAAACAGTTTTCTCCGTCGGACAGATTTCAGTTTTTTGATCATAACTTTTTCTCATGATGTCCAATTGAGGTGATTCAAGATGAGTTAGAAAGATAACTCAAAGATCTACAAATTTGATTCAGAAGTAATCTTCGATTGTCTACCATGTCTAAAATGAGTCTCAATATGATGCTAAAAATCGGTGCATAACCTTTTCGATGGGAAATTGTTGTGTGATTATACTTTGACTATATTTCACCTCTTTGATTTCTTTTCTCATTCACTTGACCTCTAAAACTCTTGAATCTTCATTCCATAGCTCGTCTCATCTAGGGATTATTTGCAACTTGATCCCTGAACTTCCATCTTCTCTTTTCCTTGGGCTATTTTTCTTGTTTTCCTTCTTCCAACACTTTAAATCTTCCATCAATTGACCTTTAAATCTTTCACTCCTTAATTTTGCCTTTCGGTTCAACTTTTGGATATTTGCATTTTATTCCTTAAACTTTTGATTTCTTTCACTTTGGTCCTTCTTTACTCATATCCTCTAATTTATGCCATAATCATCCAATTGCAATCTAAATCAAAATATAAGGTTACTCAGTACATTTAGGCTTCAATTAATAACAAAAATGCAAGTATTAATGGATGAAAAACATAACATTTTACATCTTATCATTAAGCTAACACATAAGATGTGTAAAGATAAAGAGTTGTCGGCTTAATGATCTGGGAGTTGCATGGAGATATAATTGATAATAGTATCTATCCAAATATTTTATTAAAGCTTGTTGAGTACACTCAATGTTAAGATATAACAAATGGGATCCCGGCCCACTTGGAGTCAAGTATGGACTCCATAAATTTATATGAGAGAGTCTTAAATTTTTTAGTTAAACAGTGGAAGCATAATTAATTTAATAAAAGTTCATGTTAAATTAATTGATGCATTTTATATATTATTGTTTTCCTTTCGTCATTTATATTTACATTGAATCTTGAGTAACCATATGTTTTGAATTGCATACTGGATGCCAACAACCAAATTATCACTGTAACTTGAGAATTGTTCTTAGGCATGAGAAAATTGGTTACGTGCTTGAGTGGCCCTTTCCAGAGACACTTGCTAATGACTTGATTAAGGAAGAGGTGGCTACTGTAATAAACACAGTGATAACGATAGTACTGCACATATGTGATGCTTGCAACTATGTCATCTGAGTTACAAAAGTGACTTGAGAGTATAGATGGTAACGCATGATTTTTCATTTCAAAGAGTTGTATGATAATAATCATGTGTGGAAGGATATGAGACTTCCAAGCAACTATACCGATGCAAAATGACTGAGTAATCTTCAGTCGATGCTTAGACACCGAAGATGATTGACGTTGACAATTATCTCAATGAGGTTCAGTCATGAACTATGAGCTAAGTATTGACTTAGCTTTGCAATCTCTGTTAGAGAGTTACAAAAGAGATGTGAGAGTATAGATGCTAACGCATGGTTTTTCATTTCTAAGAGTTGTATGATAATAATCATGTGTGGAAGGATATGAGACCTCCAAGCAACTATACCGATGCAAAATGACTGAGTAATCTTCAGTCGATGCTTAGACACCGAAGATGATTGACGTTGACAATTGTCTCAATGAGGTTCAGTCATGGACTTCGAGGTAAGATTGACTTAGCTTTGCAATCTCTATCAGAGAGTTATTCATAATAATTATGAACTATAATATGAATAAGCTCGAATGCACACACATTAAGTTGCTGAACATGCTTAACACTATTGAG